GGTTTGGGGTTGATAATTTGATCACGGTTGAGCTAATTTGACTCAGTGGAGGGTTGGCTGTAATGTGGAAGGATAGCTACAAAGTCGAGGTTCTGGCAATGGATAATAGAATCATCAACTTAGGAGTGGAGATGGGATCTACCGTGTTTTTCTTAACTTGCATGTATGGAGAGCTCGAGCCAGAAGGAGGGAAATATGGGAACGGTTATCGATCATTGTGATAGCAAGAGATGATGCATGGTTGCTAATTGGTGATTTTAACGAACTCTTGGACAATTCTGTGAAATTAGAGGGTCCTTTGAAATATTAATCTACATTCTGGGACTTTCAGAATATAGCAGAGAAAGTAATGAGAAGTTCGGGTAATACACTGTCTTGGGCAGGATGGAGAGACAGTGTATAGATAAAATGCCAATTCGATAGAAGCTTTGTCAGTGGTCAGTGCTTTCAACTTTTTTCAAGGGTTCAAACATAGTATTTGGATTGATTAGGCTCTGATCACCTTCCAATACGAGTTAGCTTTGCTTTAGAGGGGGATGATCCAAATAGAGGAAGATTTTATTTTGACAAACGTATGATGCAACGAGAGGGTATTGAAGACGTCGTCAAGTTGGGCTGGTGTGGAAGTGGAGACGACCTACCGGTTCCTTTAATGAAGCGGATAACAAGATGTCATAGAGAAATCTCCAAATGTAAAATATCTACAGATTTGAACTCTCAGGATCGTATTACTCGCCTCCATTACAATCTAGAAAGTGAAGTGAGTAAAGATTACCCACACAGAACCTTGATGTACAACATAAAAAGGGACCTTGCTGAAGCGTATGGTGATGAAGAAATACATTGGCGGCAAAAGTCGAGGGAGAAGTGGCTCAAAATCAAGGGATAGGAATACATCGTACTTCCATAATTGTGTGAAGGTCAGAAAGCTTAGAAATCGGATCGTCATGCTGGTTGATGAATTAGGCCGAGAACAATTCCAAGAAGGCTCGAAAGATAACATAGCAGTTGATTCTTTATGTAATCTCTTCCTCAGCTCAAGCACTTTTGACCTAGAATCCCTCTTTAACAGTTTCAATACAAGAGTCGGCTGATATGAATGTGATTCTTACTACCCTAATATCTGTTGAAGAGATAACAGCTTTCAATGTTAACGACAGTAGTGCTCTGGACGAGGATGGCCTCACGGGTATATTCTACCAATGGCATATTATGGGACCGGAAGTGACCTCTGAGGTTTATAATTTCTTTGCAACTGCGGTGATCCCAGCTGGCTAGAATCACAGTCAACTTTATCAATTGCCAAAAACCATCACTCCCACCAAAATGCAGGATATGAGACCTATTAGCCCCTGCTCAGTCCAGTACAAGATCATTTCCAAGATTTATGTGATCACCTGAAGTGCATACTATCGGATATCATCTCATATACGTAAGGGGCTTTCATCTTTAGATGCTTCATCACTGATATCATTATCATTACTCACGAAATGGTTCATGGGCTGCGAACGAACCCGAGAGTGGAAGACAAATTCATGGCAATTAAAACAAATATGTCCAAGGCATACAACCGGCTCCTATCTCTTTTTCTCTTTATTATATGTGATGAAGCCCTCGTCAGTTGTTTTAATCAATTTGAGGCTCAATGTCTTTTTCATGGCATTTGTTTAGCTGTGAATGGGCCTACGGTTCATCATCTGCTCTTCTCTAATGACAGCTTACTCATGTATAAAGCAACGGTTGCAGAGACCAACGAGTTGACATGGAGCCTCAAGATTTACGGAGAGGCCTCTGGCCAACTTATAAACACAACAAAATCTTCAATTATATTTGGCTCAAAGGTTGGAGCAATTGCCAAAAGTGGAGATCAAAGTAGGCATGGGTATTGACAATTAAGGGGGTGATGGCTCATGTCTTGGATTACCAGAAAGCTTCAGTGGCTCCAAAATTAAGTTTCTTAACTTTATTGAGCGGAAACTCAAAAACAGAGTGCATGGATGGTTTGCATAGGCACTATCTCAAGACGAGAAGGAAATATTACTGAAAGCTGTAGGATTATCATTGCCAGTATTTGCTATGTTGTGTTTTAAACTTCCTAAAGACCTCTGCAAAAAGCTAATTAGTATCATGACAGAGTTTTGGTGGAGCAGTGTCAATGGCAGGAATAAGATCCCATGGGTGGCTTGGAAAAAACTTTGCAAACTTAACTCAGAAGTAGGTCTGGGGTTCCATGATATAAGCTGCTTTAAATCAGACCTTGTTGGGCAAACAAGTCTGGCGCATCTGGGAAAATCCTGATTCTTTGCTGTCCCAGCTCTTAAAACATCGCTAATTCCGCAATTTATCCTTTTTGGAATGTGGATCTGGTTCAAGACCATCATATGCTTAGTGAAGTATTCTACATGGGCGAGAGCTACTCAAACAAGGGTTAGTTGTATCTATTGGGATGGTTTAAATACGAACGTATGGGCAGCAAATTGGATAGTTGATGGCATACCAAGATCACTGATGTATACACAGGATAGTGTGATTAACTTAACCCTCAGAGTCTCGAATTTTTTGGATGCTCACTCACAGAGATGGAATGAACCCCTACTACGTCAAACCTTTTTGCCAGAAGATGTGACAAGCGTAATGCAAATCAAACTGGTCCATAATAGGCCATATATGCTTGTGTGGAGCTTTTCTAGAGATGGTCAATACTCGTCGCAAAGTGACTACCGATTTCTAGATTCACAATGGGATCTACAAAACCCTCAAGTTCACACTGTGCCTCCAATTGACAAAAAGCTGTGGGAAATCTCTGGAAAATCCAGACTCCACCAAAGCTCAAAAACTTCATGGGCTTTATGAGGTTCTTTTACTGTTGAAGAGAGATTGCAATCAAGAAACATTCTGGTTGATGGCACATGCAATATGTGTGGGGATGGAATGGAGACAATATGTCATGTCTTATTTGGATGCAGGAGTGAAAAAACAGTATGGAAAATATTTGGACTTCCTCTACCACTATCTGGCTTCTCACCTACTTCACTCTGAAATAGCCTCAACACCTTGGTTTTTTAGAACACCAAATGTTAAACAACATAGATTATCGCCAAATCTCTAGATGATAAGGTTGACTGGTTGAAGATATATTACTTAGATCATATAAAGAATCTTTTTTGCTCTTTACCTCAAAATCCTCCAAGTTTCTGGGAAATGCCATCTAACAACGTGCTGAAATGCAATATTGGCGCCTCCTGGGTGTTACCAAATAGAAGTTGCGGAGTGGCGTGGCTGGTAAGGAACTAAAGAGGGGATACATACTTTCACAACAGAAGATCGTACTCCACCATAACCACTCCTCGTGAAGCTATTCTATGGAGTCTACTATGGAATGTGGATTCAACAGCCACCATGAAGCTAAGGAACATTATCTTCGAATCTTCTTCATTACAGTTAAGAGAGACCATGCTATATCCTCACTCTTCCCGAAATATCAAACTCTACAGCCCCAAATATTTTTCCATCTTTAACATATGGACTTTTGGACTTTGAACTACATTGCTGCCGAAAGCAATCAGCCTGCCATAGAGATAGCAGTGAGCGTCACCAGGGACCACCGGTACCAATTGTACATTGGCCATTAAAGCCTTGTGTGGCTCCAACCCCTGCTCACTTTGGAGGCCAATGGGAATGCCTAAATCGTCACAGCCATCATTTTCACCACATATGAACCCTTGTATGTCTGGTCTGGTCTGATTTATACCTTTACTATTTTTTTCATTAGAGGCTATATGCCTTGTAAGATGCCTATTGGTGTCATTTTGTGAACTATCTTCCTTCTCTTTTTCATGAATCAACCAGTGTTAACAAAAAAAAACTGACTTCCTACAAGTATAAAGATAGGACCCCCTCATCGTTCAAATGGTTCGTAATTTCATTCTCGAAACTTAAGGATTAACGTTTTGCTTTATGATTTTAGCTCTCGTTTTTTAACTCTCAAATTTGGTCAACGTTTTTATTTTAAATACCTAATTTTTCTTGTAACATTTGAGCTCCAGCTAATATTAATAAAATTTACTCTTAAACCCACAAATTATATAGTTTATTTCAATAAGTGATATTTGAGTTTAACAGTTTCTATCATCTGTGGGTAATAGAGAACAAGTTTTTTGAAAAAATCAAGGAGCTCGAATATGGCTGGAACACCACCTCCTGAATGACGTTCAAAAGAGATTCCAGAAGATTTTCAGGATCAACGAAATCCAATAGACCCCAACACTATACTAATAATCTGGGTAAAGGTCAACTTTGCAAAAAATATATTAGAAAAACTCAGGAAAGTACATATAATTTTAAAACTTTGAAATGGATAATTCGGATATCATACATCATATATATTATATTCTTTTAGTTGTTTGAAAAAAAATATCTAAATTGGATAATATTTTAACAAAATTTGTATAAGACAGAAAATCCGAGAAGGGTACATATGAGAAAGGGAAATCCGTCAGAAAAATCTACAACTATATAATACAACAAGTATAATACACAACAATGCGTTAAAATGATTGACACATCCGTATGTAACGCAGATCACCAACTAGTTTAATATACAAGGACTAAATTTATTCTCTTATTAGTTTTTCTTTTGGTCGAAGGTAGGAGACAAAGTCTCCCACGGTTTATTCAATCTAAAAATACATTCCAAAGGTCCCACCGGTTTTTGGTACAAGAGATCAAGAGAATCCGGAGTATTGGAGACAGCGAGAGAAGTTTCTGAAACAATTTGAAAAGAGCGAGGTAATATATATATATACCTTTCATTTTATGTACTAATCTCTTTTTCTTGATTTTGTATTCAAACCACTAATTCGAGATTTTGTATGGTTTTAAGGGTTACCATATGGAATTGGACAAATTCGACTACCTCTACGCTCCCATCAAATTCGAATGGGGAGACGCAGCAAGGACGAGTTAATGAAGCTGCTCATAAAAACAGCAATTGACGAAAAATGAAGAATGTGTATGTTTTCTCTTGCTTAATAATGCTTCTCCTCCATTTATTGATTCAACACTTCTTCTCGCAGGAAACGCAACTTGAGTTTGTCAAATATGTGAGCGCAAATGTAACGGCCGTCCAAGGTAATTGTTTTTATATAACGTTTTGGGCCAAAGATGTTTCCTTGCCAGATCCAGAGCCAAAACTTTACCAAGCCCAGGTGTGGAAGTATTGTCATGAGATCGAGGTTATCCAATTTAGGCTAAGGCCAACACAAGAACGATTTGGATATATTATCACACTAAACATGTAAATGGCTTCATCTTATCTTCTAATCTCTTCTTCTTCTTCTCATGTCCATGTCAGTGTCTGATTACTACTCTTTTTTCATCCTGTGTGTATACAGGTGATTACCACTTCAACTCCTTGCGCCAAGACACATTATCTGCAAACATTTTTACATAAACTTGAATTGTGAGTGGCGATAATCGAAACTATCTATATTTCAAAAATAATTAAATATAAACATGTAATTGTTTATAACTAATAGTAATAATGATCAAAAATTATCAATACTATATTTAGTTATTTTAAAGAATTATTCTGTGAAGTCCACTGTTATATAAGGTTTTTTAAAAAACTGAATTGTTATATAAAGTTTAATTTGAAATTGTACATAATATGTGAATTCTCTAGCTAATATTAAAAATTTCCATTATCTTATATTTTTATTTATCTATGAATACCATAATGAAAATATATTTTATTTGAATGTATATGTTCGAACATAAATTTGTGGGATATTTATAGAGGTATGCAATTATTTGGAGTTTCTAGAGCTATATTTCTGAGTTTTGTTTTCTGGGGATGAGTGGTATACAGTTCCGAGGCAAAAGTCTAGACGAATCCGGCACTCACAGGCAAACAAGCAAGTCTGGCCTTCAGACGAACCAAAAGGGGTTTTCTTTCCGACGTTCAAGTCAATGAACGCCCTACTAAGAGATATTCAGGAGGGGGATTTATAAGGTGACAGTTATGGATTGGGCATCTGGTTCAAGGATTGAGATACTCCTCTGATGTTTAGCGAAGGTGGAAGTGTAAAAGATGGTCCGTGAAGAGAGTGATGTAGGGGCTCTCTCTACAATGGAACTGAAAAGTAGGTAAAGAAGAGAGAAATGCTTATCTGGTGGGCGTTCCTTCCGAGGAGTGGTGAGTATTCCCCTTCAGTCTCGCGGTATCAGAGGTTTGGGGCGAGCTCCGACGACGCAGAGGTCCAAAGTTATTCCCACCGCCTCCTGTTTGGGCGTATTTTAAATGTTTCCTCTCTTTTGGACTCGTCACATGTGTGGGCCAGCTGATTTCTCCGATCCCTTCTTTTTTTGGCCTTCGGTCTCCTTATATTTTATTTGTATGTATATGTTCGAACATAAATTTATGGGATATTTATGGAGGTATGCAATCATTCGGAGTCTCTGGAGCTAGATTTCCGAGTTTCGTTCTCTGAGGATGAGCGGAATGCTGTTCCGGGGCAAAAGTCTAGACGAATCCGGCACTCACATGCAAACAAGTAAGTCTGGCCTCCAGACGAACCGAAAGGGGTTTTCTCTCCGACGTTCAAGTCAATGAACGTCCTACTAGGAGATATTTAGGAGGGGGATTTATAAGGTGACAGTTACGGATTGGCCATATGGTTCAAGGATCGAGATACTCCTCTGATGTTTAGCGGGGGTGGAAGTGTAAAAGATTGTCCGTGAAGAGAGTGATGTAGGAGCTCTCTCTAGACGGGAACTGAAAAGTACGTAAAGAAGAGAGGAACACTTATCTGGTGGGCCTTCCTTCCGAGGAGTGGTGAGTATTCCCCTTCAGTCTTGCAGTATCAGAGGTTTGGGGCGAGCTCCGGCGATGCGGAGGTCGGAGGCTTTTCCCACCTCCTCTTATTTGGGCGTATTTTAAATTTTTCCTCTTTTGGACTCGTCACATGTGTGGGCCGGCTGATTTCTCTGATCCCCTCTTTTTTGGCCTTCGGTCTCCTTTTATACTCGCTTCTCTTCGACATATCCTATCTATGCGGCACGCGGCAGGGCAGGCTATCAAGTACAGCAAGCCTGACTTGGTAAACTCGCCACCTGCCCGTGAATAGTACGCTAGGGGGTTGGTGTCAGGCCTAGTAGGATTCAGCGCTTGGATGCGGTCCAAAGGCCACATGTCGCCTCAAGGTTGGTGGTGGTAAAAGTGGGTCCAACAATTATCCCGGACTTCTCGACTGATTGGAAATGAGTCGGATAGTCGACCCTCTCACCGTTCCTGCAAAATAATCAAAGATTTGTCTGATACCCGAAGGTTTTGGCTGTTTTGAAGCCGTTTAAAAACAGGTCGCCCGACCTTGCTGCGTATCCCGGAGAAATATGAGTCTGACCATAATGAAGCTGAGCTTCCTGAGAAACGGTGAAAGGCTCACTCCGACGCTGCCGCATATCCACAGGGTATGGGTCTAACCGAAGCGAAACTGGATTTCTGGAGAAATGGTGAAAGGCTCACCTCAACCCGGTCACGTATGGTTCTAGCCAAGCGAAGCTGGATTTCTGGAGAAATGGTGAAAAAGCTCACCTCGACCCTGCCGCATATCCCGGTAGAGTACGGATCTAGCCGAAGCGAGGCTCGATTTATGGAGAAACGGTGAATTTCCAGAGAAATAGTTAGATTTCTAAGAGAACAGTTTGATTGGGTCTTACCCCAACTAGGGTATGAAAGTACATGCTTGTTCGGAATAGAAGGATGTTAGGTTTCCCATCACGATTGAACTACACAAGAGGAAACGATGGAAAAGCCTCCAAAAAGAAAAAAAACAGGTTTCTCTGCTGAAGATTTTTCGAACGTTTAAGTCAGACGTTGTCGTACACTAGAAAATCTTTATCCAAAAGGCGTGTGTGGGTTAGGTGAAAACTCACGTTGAAAGATTGACTCCTATGTACCATCCTTTGTGGTGGTCGGTTATGCGTACATGAATCTAATTTAGTGTTCGAACTCTCTCCTTTAGGGATTTGGTTGCGACCAAAAATAGAATTTGAACCTGACAGGGAGGTCACTTACCTTATAAGGTGGCGAGAGCTCTTTCTTTATGGTCAAGTGCTCTCGAGTTCTCTCTTGTCCTGCCCTCTTTCTTTAGCTTTGCCTCCTCTTTTTCTAGGGAGCCTACCTCATGACTTTGCCTGTAAAGCGATTATAACAATCCGAGTCCGGCCTATTTGAATAAGTTTAAATGTAAAGTGCACTTGTCTTTTCGGTTAGTGGGTTTGAGAGAACTCCATAGTTAAGCGTGCTTGAGCTGGATCAGGACTAGGATGAGTGACATTTCGGAAACTGATTTCCAAAACCGTGTTAATGAGGCCAAAACATGGAAAAAAATTATGTGATGATTGCAGGGTCAGTAAATTAGTCGGGTGGACTCCGTGAAAAAAATAATGCACCAACCGTCGGATAAAGGCAAAGTCCACAAGACCAACAGAAGGATGGGTAACTCGCCAGTAAAGACGGTCGGGGTAACTCCTCCTTCGATTTGTTCCATCATTTATTGTTAGCGGGGGAGTTAGTGATCGAACTTTTGAGTATGGTTGCTTTTACTTGTGGTGCTCTCGATGGTCTTGCATCCTTCTAGATCAGTAAGTGCATATAGTTCTTCTCCCACGATAATACTAGTTGTTATTAGTGGGAAATAAGTTATTAATATTCAACACTGTTTAATCTTTTTCTGCTAATAAAGTTAATAACATATTTAATATGATCGAGTAAATTCATAATTTTAAAAGAGTCAATATTTAGTTTTTTTTTTTTTAACAATAGTCAATATTTAGTTTTTAAATAGTTCACACAAACGAGGTGTTTGAAATGGTCAAAATTTAAAATTTTAATATTTAAATATCATTTTCTACTGATTTATAACTTCTTTCTTAAGTTTACATAATTGCTAAACTAAATAAACCAAATTTAAATTTAAAATTATTTAAACATAAATAATATTTGCATCATATCTATTACTAATAAAAGTTGATGCTAAATGCCTCTAAGGGTGTCCACATAGGATTTAAAGATTCAATTCTATTGGTACACATCATCATTATTTTTAGTTAATTATATATTTATATTAAAATTAATTAATTCATTTTAATTATTATAAGGAAAATTTTTAAATTTTAATTAATTTTGTTTTTGTTGTTATTAGGAAAGTTTCTAAATTTTAAGTTAGTTATTAATAATAAAGAGTTTTAAAAATAGATTTTATTTTTCTATCAATATTAAAAAGGTAAATTAACATATAAATAGATTATGAAAGATAAATCATATATACTGAACAAAATTATTAAAAACTGTATTTAAAAACCATAATAAAATTATTTTAAAATTTGAATCACGACAAACAATTAAAATCTGAACTGCTAACTTAAAACATAGTAGTTGTGGTCCATGTTGATGTCTTAGGCCAATGAGAGTGTCCACATAGAACATATATACTCAATCTGATCGTCTATATTAGTGTTTTTCAATAAACATAAAAAATAAAAAACATTTTAATATCACAATAGAATGGAAAATTAATATTTTATTAATAACTTAAATAAATTAAAACATACAAAATATAAAATTATCACAATAGAATAAAAAATTATGATAATTGTTTTTAAATAAAATAAATTTATGTCAAAAGTCTAAATCTATTGTGAAAATAAAATAGAAACTCATTGTCACAAAACTAAACTAACAAAAACAAATATGTAAATACTTAAAAAAATTAACACAAAAATCTTAACAAACCAAAAATGATACTTTATGTTAATTACTGAAGAAAGCCATATAAAAAAATGTTTAACTAACAAAAACTAAAACATAAATTATTTCTTACAACATATCAATACAATTAAAATGAAACTCCATATCGAGAAAGTTAAATTAACAAAAAAGAGGATATTAACTTAATATCTATGTTATTTATTTAACAAAATCAATATAAACAGAATAAGTAAGAGAATAAAAAAACTTAAAATAATACTAAAAAACTTAACTAACAAAAATAATATAAATATTTAAGCTAATTATTTAAGAAATTAATTAGCTAAAAAACTAAAACAAAAATTAAGTTTTACAAAATATTATTTTTAAAAAAACACTTAAAAGTATATTGACTTGAAATCTGACTAACTACTTAAAAAATTCATATAAAAATATTTAACTAACAAAAAAATTATGTCTTCAAAATATCAATATTTTAATACAATGGTGTGTTAAAATAAAATAAAAATCAATATCAAGAGAGGTAAA